GTTTGAAGTAGTAGACTAATTCAAAATATTCCATAGTTGTAATTGTAATAAATGGGAGACAGGGAAGCATGAAAAAGATGGGTTGACGAAGACGAAATCTGTACTGAATCTAACGTCCCTAAAAGGCCGGGGATTTAAATTAATATTATTTACAAATTTGATATTAATAATAGTAATCAGTGCAGAAAGATCTCCCCCCCCTCTAGAAAGAAGGCTAATAATAATTTGAAAGACTTTTCATGTTACACACAAACCTTTTCTGATTGAAAATTCCAAATATATCTTTTTTAGAACCATTGATTAATTAATTCTCCATGATATATACATGTATACTACTTTAAAATAATCTTGGTCCAAGAAAACATGCATAACATGATCATGGGATTGTTTCATGATGCAGGTCTTCTTCTTCTTCTTCTTCTTCTTCTTCTTCTTCTTTTTTCAGATGCCTCAGTTAGTACATCATCATCTGTTGCAGTTGCACCAGTAATTAATTATAACTCATCAATAGCAAAGCCGGGTTGCACCGATCGATGTGGGAATGTGAACATCCCATTTCCTTTCGGCACAACAGAGGACTGTTACCACAGCTATAGTTTCTTCATCACTTGCAACCAAACTTCCCTTCCCCCAAAACCATACTTGCAGAACTCCACCATTGAAATTACTAATATTACACTCGATGGCCAGCTCACAGTCTTGCAGTTCATAGCACACGACTGCTACTATCCAAATCATACTAGATCTTCAACCAACGATCCTTCTATATACCTCCCCATTTCCCTTACAGTTAACAACACAGCCAATAAGTTCACTATCGTCGGCTGCGACACTTATGGTTTCGTCTCCGGCCGCCGACTTAACCGGAATTACCAGACCGGGTGCACTGCCATGTGCTATGCCAAAGATGATCTGATCCAAGGTGCCTGCACAGGGTTAGGCTGCTGCCAGACATCTATTCCTAAACAAGTTTGGAGAGTGGAGTTAGCTTTGAAGAGCTACAACAATTACAGTGAGGTTTCGGATTTCAATAATTGCAGCTACGGTTTTCTAGTGGAGGAGACTGCTTTCACCTTTTCTCCGGAGAATCTGACCAACTTGAAGAGTGTAGTAAGTCTTCCCATGGTGGTTGATTGGGCCATTGGAAATGGGACTTGTGAGGATGCCCAGATGAATTCTTCTACCTATGCTTGCAAAAGTGTGAATTCCAATTGTTACAAGCCCGACAATGGTTACGGGTATCGTTGTTTTTGCCATGACGGTTATCATGGAAATCCCTACCTATTTGATGGTTGTAAAGGTATCCTTGCTAATTAATTAATGATCTTTCTTTTCTTTACTATTTTACTTCAACTGCAAACAAGTGTTTCTACTCGATCACTTTTACAGATATAGACGAATGCGGAAATTCGTATCTCAACACCTGCGAAAAGGGATGTATGAACACACTAGGTGGTTTTAAATGTGTTTGCCCTAAAGGGTACCGTGGAGATGGGATAAAAGGGGCACAAGGTTGTATTCGTGGCGAATCACTTTTATTTAAGCTTGTATCAGGTTAGAATGAACATTTTCCTTTTCAGACAGACTACTTTTATTAAGAGGTCTCTCTATATATAGTGAGTATTAGTAACTCTCGAGAGTATGTGTTTGGTTGCAACTGCATGCAGGAATTGCTTTAGGAGTGATAGTTGTGATATTGGGTGCTTGTTGGTTGCACTTGGAACTGAAGAGAAGAAGGCTGATTAAGATGAAACAAAAGTTCTTTCTCCAAAATGGAGGCATGCTCCTGCAAGAAAAACTCGCTTCTACAAGAAATATTGGATCATCATCATCATCTGATCATACTGCAAGAATATTCAGCGAATCGGAGCTGGAAAAGGCCACCAACAACTTCCACACCAGTATGATCGTCGGTCAAGGAGGCTACGGCACTGTATACAAAGGCTTCTTATCAAACAACAGAGTAGTCGCCATCAAAAAGTCGAAACAAGTTGATCCAAACCAAATCGAGCAATTCATCAATGAAATGACAGTTCTATCCCAAATCAACCACAGGAATGTAGTGAAACTCATAGGCTGCTGTCTGGAGACACAAGTACCTCTGCTGGTGTACGAGTTCATAAGCAACGGCACATTGTTCGAACACGTGCACAACAAGGCGAAAGCCCGTGGTCTTTCTTGGGACGTGCGTTTGAGAATAGCTGCAGAAACTGCGGGGGTGCTTGCGTATCTACACTCGTCTGCGTCAACTCCAATCATACACAGAGATGTGAAGTCGGCTAATATTCTATTAGACCATAAGTTGACAGCAAAAGTGTCGGATTTTGGAGCATCGAGATTGGTACCTTTGGATGAAAAGCAACTATCTACAATGGTGCAGGGGACATTTGGATATTTGGATCCAGAGTACATGCAAACGAATCAACTGACGGAGAAGAGCGATGTGTACAGCTTTGGAGTAGTGCTTGTGGAGCTGCTAACAGGAAAGAAGGCGTTGAGCTATGATAGGGCTGAGGAGGATAGAAGTTTAGCGAATTATTTCCTATCTGTGATGAAAGGGCAGAAGAAAGAGAGTTTGTTTGAAATTATTGTTGTGGGGAGAGATGTAGATGAGGGAAATGCGATGAGAGTAGGAGTGCTTGCGAAAAGGTGTTTGAATGTTAGAGGAGAAGATAGGCCGACGATGAAACAAGTGGCAATGGAGCTTGAGGGAATATTATCATTTAACATCATCAGTACAACAGTCATCGGTAAATAATGATGGAGATGATCAAGGATGGTGTGGTTAATGGTGGTGCTGATCAGGGATTCAGTGGATTCGTAAACAGCACTAGTAGAAGT